AAATTCTACAAACAATCCGATAATGCCAAAATATATATTGGATAGATTTTGGATAGAATAACCCCGTACAATCATACACCAACCATCATTTATCACTTGTCAGCCCATTTATCACTTGTAAATCATGGTTCAATCCCCCTTCAATAATGCCATTCAATAGTTAAGCCCATGCTTTTGATGCTTCAAACCATCAACACCTCTATAAATGATGGTTAAATGATGGTTAAATCCTATCAACTGCTTGTTTGATGGTTAAAATTCCTATTGAAGACCTGTCCTGCTGTAGCAGCCCCTGGCCACTGCTCTCCGGTGTCGTCCCCGGTGGTCCTGCGGCCATGCGCAGTGTGGCCACCGTGGCTTCATCTTGGCCCTCGCGATCCATGCGTCGTAGGTGCAAGACGCGCGAGGCACCTGAAGAAACGCCAGGTGCCACAAAGGTGAGGGACATCAGGGGTAGTACTCAGCAATAATCGGATTTAATGGGATTTAGTTAGCCAAGTTGGTGAACATAACTCCAATAACTAGGGTTTATACATGTTTATCTCGAACTAGTTCATGGGGATCATAACATAATGTATAACTGGATACCATCCTGTGGGGGCTTAACATGCTTTAAACATTTGTGGTGTTAGAGCTTATTTTCATTATATATGTATACATATGCATATATATTATATATATATACACATGGATTTAGAGGTGATACAATAATTTATGGGTTTTATCTAGTATCTGGATTAAGCACTCCTATAGAGGTTGTATAATCCCAAGATGAGTGTTCAGGTTCTGTATAATATCACATGGAAAGGTTATCTATTTAGAGATTACTTAACATGAATGAATATTTCTGCATTTTAAAAGTCATATAATCATATATTTATATAATGCATTTTTTCTTACTTCAATGTCCGTTGAACCAACGAACTTGAGATTCTCTGTTTACCAAGTGATGATTGGAGCCATAGTTTTGCGGATGATGTCGATTGAAACAATCAAATGCTGGATATACCATACCAAGTATATGGGAAGTTTAATAATGATTCATGTAAAATCAAACAACCAATATAAATTGGGGATGTCCTAAAATAGGGGTACCCCCAAAACATCCATTTTAGTAGTATGTTCCGTTATAAATCATCCAGCTATTGGGGTACCCATATTGATGGAAACACCCAAATCATGATCATGGGCCAAGAAGATGGTGACCAAAGCAACGCCCGTAAGCCGAGACAAAGACATCGCACCATATTGCCAGTAAGTCTCGTGTTAGATAATGTCCAATGTTGGATATATAATGTTGGTATGTCTTTTGTGCTATATTTTATGATGGTGTCTTCCCATTTATCATATGAGCACATAGCCTCAGTCAAGTGGTGCATACCCGCATAATGACAATGTGTCAAGACGCTGGTGGAAGCGCCTCCCCACTTCAAGAAACGCCGTTGCAATATCTCTTTGAAATTCGATTTTCATATGGGTGTTTCTATGGTTGGACATCTCCTATCATATATAGATCTGATGATGGATATTTCATAACATAGACTATTCCTCGTATGTTGTTTCCATATTGGGTTGGACCGTCCTGATTTTTGCTAGTTGGGCCCCAGTATACTGACAATGTTTCGAGGGCACTGGGATCTTACATCAATAAACATTGAAAAACATCCATCAGAATCTGTCAATCTATGCGAATCTATTATTTTCATGGAACATAAAGCTTGCCCTCTGATAGTATGTATATAATATATAATATACAATATATGATAATAATAATAAAAATAATAAGAATAAAAATAATAAGAATAAAAATAAAAATAATAATAATATATATAATACGTATATATATATATACATACATATTCCATTGCAAGCTTCAAGCTAGGGCCGCCATCCGCCCTTAAAACTGTCATACCAAGTCGCTTGACTGGAAGGTCACCAAACCTCAACGACTGCCCAAATTTGACGGAGAATCCCAAGACAAATAAAGATTTCCATGGGAAAATTTAGGAAAATCCATGAAAATTCATTATGATTGGGGATGTGATAGGATTTAATGGGATAAACCCTCTGGTTAGTTAACATAGCTATGGAAAATGACCCATTTATAATCCTTCTACAAGTTTACCGGGTCAGGTTGGCTCACCTGATTTTCTAGGGAAAACACAGGTGAAAACAGATACTTGGGCCCTAGAAAAACACAGCTGGAAAAAAATAAATACCACCTCACTAGAAAATCAGCACACACACAAAACGGCATTTTAGACCCTGAAATGCCAAAAATTTGGTAGAAAATTGAAACCTGATCCTTGGGCTCCGGCGAAAAATGCGGAGCTTGATGTCATAATTATTTAGCATCAACATCTGAGCTATGATATTCTAGAACATTCATGTCTGGCCTCCTCCCCTCTCCCGAGATTCGATTTTTTGGATTTTTCGAACTTTTCGAGTCTTCTCTCAAAGCGTCCTCCAAAATGAGCCCTTCCCAGCCAATAGTCGCCATGAATTCAAATTCAGAAACAATCAGAAATATATCGATACATGTTGCTATGATAAACTATGATATTTTCATATATTTTAATATACGCGCTGGTATTTCATACTACCTCCGGGGCTTCGCAGCCTGGCCCGCCCCCCACATTTAAATGTCGTTACCGTACAGCATGCTGCAACTCTGTACAAAAACATACCGCCTCAGTTTCTTTCACTTCTTTCACTTCAGCAGTTTTTGGTCATAGAAGTTTCAAACAATGACTCGAAAGGAATGTGATTCTCTAGAAGTGACGCGCGCTGTTTTAAATCCAGTGCTTGATTTTCTAGAGGCCACAATTTTCCATACATGTGCCTCCCACATTTTCAAGACGCCTGCATCCAGGTCCATATTCGAAAACCATCGAAAACCTATATTCGAAATCGTTATTTTCACATATTGCCACAATGCGTCACATGTTTTCACATTGTACACATGTTCTCCATATGTTCATTTTTATATAACCCCATCCCAATGTATTTTAAGGTGTTTTCATGTTCTCAGATTTATCAGACTCGCAATTCTGGTTTAGGCGTTTTGGACTTGATTATAGAATATTTCAATATTTTTGGCGTACCCTTATAAAACAGCAGTTTTTGGTCATAGAAGTTTCAAACAATGATTCAAAAGAATGTGATTTTCGAGAAGTGACGCGCGCTGTTTCAAATCCAGTGCTTGATTTTCTAGAGGCCACAATTTTCCATACATGTGCCTTCCACATTTTCTAGGCGCCTGCATCGAGGTCCATATTCGAAAATCCATATTCGAAATGACTATTTTCACAAGTTTTCTGTATATTAATCATATTTCATTTTTAATCCCAATCTATTTTCATGTGTTTTCAATTTCTCTGATCTACCAGACTCGCAGCGACGCAGGTACTCAAAGTTCCAGCCCAAGCGCTTCGGATTGGCTGTTGTCCAATTGCGAGATGCGGCAAGTGTTGCAAACTTGGACAGGAGAGAGATGGGACTAGATTTTAAGCATGTTTAAACAAAACAAAATGACCTACCAGTGCCCCTCTAGAAAATCAGGGACCACTAGAAACTCTAGGAACGTCCTCCCAGAGATGCTAAAATTATGCTCCTGGATTTTGGGCACTTAAGCTACCCAGAAAATCAGGGTCTCCCGACTCAGAGGTCTCCAAAAGTTGTTCTGTAGAAAATGACGGGGTTGATAAAAGCAGCCTTTCATCAAAATCGAAGAATTTTCGCGCCAGATTATCAGTCCTTCTTAGGGGGGTTGACCCCCCTGAAATCCTAGAGGAAACTCACACCGGTATTTTCAGAAACATAAGTCTAACTCAACTAAACTAGAAAGACAGAGCCCACTAGAAATTCATAGGCTGACTCTCCAAAATTGGGTCCGTAAAATCCGCATCTTCCGCGCCAGAAAGTTAGGCAGTTAACGAGCCGGATTTCCTAAGGAAAAGGGAACCAGTATTCAGAAACATAAGTCTAACTCAACTAAACTAGAAAGACAGAGCCCACTAGAAATTCATAGGCTGACTCCCCAAAATTGGGTCCGTAAAATCCGCATCTTCCGCGCCAGAAAGTTAGGCTCTGTCAACTTTGAGGTGCTTAAAATAGCCACGCTAGAAAATTAAGGCCCCTATGAAAGCAGCCGATCCCCAGAATACAAACCTGGGATGACTAGGAAATGAAGGCTTACAGGGGGGTTGACCCCCTAGACTTTCTGGCGGAAACTGGTAAGAGGATCATTTATAGATGTTATGATTTAGCTGTTAAGGATGGTGGTTTTTGATAGCTGTGTGAAATAACCAATGGTTAATTGGTCTTTTGGGTTGGCGCTTTGTAGTTTGAAATCTTCGGTGTAAAAACACTAAACATCACTAAACATCACTCAAGTGTAATGGAATTGTTGTGATCCCGCAGCTTGAAGCAAATCACCGCAGAAACTTAGGGCGAATTGGTGCTACTTCTAACAGACACCATCCCATCTTCAGACATCATTCAAATCAAACGACGTAGAGAACCATGGACCACAAGTTGCATCTTGTTGAAATTTTGATTTAGAAGTCATTTCTTTCAAGAGAACAAATGGATGTCAACCATCACAGCGTCGGATGCCGAGGACTCTCAAGCGGACAAACCACGGCACAAAGGGATTGAGTTCAGGGATATTTCAAATCACAACTGCAATCAATAGAGGTATATATTTTTCCACTAATAGTTAACCCATAATAGGTATTCTAACATATTCCAACTCATATAAGTGGATTAATAGATGTACCCATCCATATTCCAACATATTCCAACATAATAGATCTTCCAACATCTATATGATAATGTAATAAGTAATACCCTCTGGTAATTTAACATAGCTATTGAAAATCACAATTTTTAATGGGAAAATCCACTATTAATGGTCATTTTCAATAGCTACGTTAAATTACCAGAGGGTAGATGTATCCCCATATGGGTTGTAAGATCCACCAGGTGGTCGATGTCGATTAGATTAGCTCCAAGTGGCTCAGTCGATCCGCCGGAAGGGATTCGTTGATGATGAAGCGCACGGCCGATTTCCTGAGCCAGGGACGGTTTAAGCTCCAGAAAAGACATGTGATTCACTCATGATCAAAACGTATATGGGGATGGGTCAAAACCCTGGTACCTAGTGAACCCCAAAATAGCTGGTAAATGGATGTTCATCCCACTAAAAATGGTATTAATAGGTATTGATCCATACCCATATATTTACATATATTTACTATTGATTGAATCAATCAACTTGTCTGAATTACAATGTTTCTTCACTCACTATAAATGATCAAAGACTATTCTGGCTAAATCATTGCAATTCACTAAACTGAAATGAACCAAGCATAAATAAGGCTAGTTTAGGATAGTGGCCCCAATCCAAACCCATCATTCCAATAACGTCACAGTGAGGTCGCAACACTGGCTGCACCGTTCAGGAAGGCGATGGAAATTCTTCTCTCATCTCTCAACTGGGAGCAACCGCAACAGAAAGAGTCCAACCAAGTCGCAGCTATTGAAACATGGTGGGCTTTCAAAACGTACAGCAAGGATGGGTTTTGGGTACAGAAGTGGGGTGAACTACAGAGTCGAGATACTTCTGCAGGTTGTTAACAGTAACAAGTTTGAACTACGGGCAATGTTCATGGCGCTTTCAGCTACTTCCAGTTGCAATTCAATTGATTCAATGGCTTTAGTGAAACATCTGCACAGGAAAGACATTCAGACACTGCCCCTTCCCTTCGTGTCAGTTTGCTACAAGGCTTTCAGCCGTGCTTTTGGGCCGTCGGCAAGCTTGGGGGATCTGGAAAGTGTGGCAATTTGATTTAGATCTGCGACATGCTGCTTACAGGGTCCGAAAAAGGTTTGCTCTCCTACTACCTGACATGTGTAGAATATGTTGGTTGATGTTTGCACTGCACAAATTTCGGCAACAGCACTATTCAAAAGATTTGGAACCTCAATAAAATGTCCAGTTTTCCAGCCCGGACTCTTGCCTGGGCCGGACTGTCCGAGGTGCGTTTAGGTTTAGGGGTTTAGGTAGACCTGTGAACATACAAAGTGTATACAAGAAACCCATTTTTGTCTTTGTGCGTTTTGTTTTCCCAGTTTTTCCCCTTTTTTTCCAGGAAATCTCAGGACACCCAGTGGGTACCATCGGGATGATGCCGCAAAAAGGATGACCATCATCCATACTTTCTGTGGTGTTTCTTCCCCCGTTGGTAAAATCAGCATGAAATCATCATGTTCATTGTTTCTCCCATGCTATCGCCAGATTTGTCGATTTTATCTCAAATAGTCATACCGTATCTGATATTGTATAATATCCCATCTAACTCTAGTTATATATATAGTATTGTTATTATTTTATATTTTATCTATATATATTGGTTCACCTTTTCTATTTGTCTTTTGGGGGTTGCTCTACTGTATACAGTGTTGTAACATGATATTTTACCCAGAATTGGGATTCACCGATGATCCACACTACACGCCTTTTTTTGTGACAAAAACCAAAGCTCCCTGTTGATTTTCCTCTATCTGATATCCCCATGGCCACAATCCGTGGCTTGGCTGCCAAGCTTCAATTCTTCGATTTTGTTCTGAGATCCCATTGAGCCAGACACATCCAAGACGCACACCTCAATGGTGGAGCATTGGCTTTCTTCCAGACTCTGTCAATTGAGCCAATCTGAATTTGTTACGTTTCTAGGCATACGGTGATTTTAACCTTCAAACTTTTTGGAAAATCTTGAGTAGATCATGGTTGGTTGGTGATCATTACCATTCTATATCATTTGGGGATACGATTGTCATGGTATATACATATATATATATACAAATACACACACACATATTATATATATATATATGCAGTACATATTTTTGATATATATATATATGTATAATTATGTATATATATATACAATACCGATGTCATGAGATATACGTAAACATATATGGCCAACAGCAAACGATTTGGGCCTGCCCTAAATTGTGGGATACCCGTGAAACATGCAAAATTGCTGTGTCTATGTATGGGACACATATGATACATGGATTTTGGTGCCCTGTTTCGTGGACAAAACCATATTGTCCTTGTGAGGACAAAAAACTGGCCAGTTTATCCTTTCACATTCTTTCCTTTGGGTTGCACAATGGATGCAAACACCCTCTATCAATCAAGCAGCCAATCGAAAAAAATAGAACCAGAACAAGATGAACAAGTACGTCTATGGTTGGGGCCAAGAGGAGAGGAAAAGAACAAGGGATGTTTCTGAACAGTGGAAACTGATGGTGGTCTCACCCTATGAAAACTAATTAGGAGCCATTGGGCATAATCACAACAGGATGAGCTGGAACATTGAAAATTCATGAAAACTCTATGTTTGAAACCACCAGCCGGGAACTCATATCTTTAGCTTCTACAAACGAGGATGAAGATATGCTAGGTGCGACAGCTTGATTTTGACATGGCAAAACCATGCACAACCAGTTCCTTCAAATGAAAGCAAACTTTTGTGTCAGGAAGCTATATGTATTCGGCTTTCTCCAGCCAACTACTTTTGCCCGTGCTAAGTCTGCCTTTGCGCTTCGACCCCGACGCTTCAGAAACATCACCACCGGCCAGTGGCTATAAGAGCTGTGGATCTGGGAATGTAGGTTTTGCTGCCAACCAAACAAACGCGCTGTGGTTCCCACGTGGTGTTCAAGGAAACTTTGCAGCATTCCAGAGATCTTGCTCCATGAGATCTCCATCAACCGTGCCCTTCTTTTTGCTCACTATTCAGGAGGAAAGGTCGGATCGCTTGCAACACAACTATAGATCATTGCAGCGCATGATGCATACTTGGTGTGCTGCTCTTTCCTGGTCCCATTCGGTGTATTAATCCTGACCGATGTTGTTTTTTCCCTTTCCAAGCCACAGACTCTTTGGGGCAACGGGGCGACGCAGAGTCCATTTAGGAGGGATATCATCATCCGAGTACATAGCTTCAACTTTGATAAACCACCTATTCTTGATTTCCAGTTCCCGTTGGTTGACTCCCAAGTTTTCCGGCTTTGAATAGCCTTGAAACATCATTTTTCGCTTGCTAGACCCCTTCAAGTTTTGCTACTAAGATCTCAATACAAACAAATATCGCTGCAAGTGCAAGGGCCGAAGGTTAGTTATGTACCCCTTAATCCCCATCACAGACCTAATATAACCCTCCATGATCACGGATTACTATATACTCCATTTATTGGTACCATGGCTATCTACCCAAATGTTTGAACATGGATTAACATGGTTGTACTATGTTGTAATACTTTGATTTTTCTTAAATTCCTCTGTTGTTGTTGTTGTTGTTGTTGTTGTTGAAGAAGTAAAACCCTGCCCCAAAAAAACCAACTCCGAGTGCCAAGGGTCCAAATCCATCGGTTTTCGTTCCGCTTCCACGTTGGTCGCCGTGCCCTCGGCGTTGACGTCAGCAGCTGCCGCCTATCGCGGCTGGAGAGATCTCATCGCATTAGACGACTTTCCATGAATACAAATGTGGAGGTTTCCTGAAATATGGGTACCCCCAAACCATCCATTTTAATAGGATTTTTCATTATAAACCATCCATTTTAGGGGAATTCCCATTTATGGAAACCCCCATGTGAATGCGAGGAGTCATTTTCTTGTGCCCCGACACCACTAAATTGCCAAAGTACACATTGCCGAAAGCTTCCGACATTTTTCACGTCTAACTCCTACAACATACAAAGATTCATTCTCATCAGCCGCCATGGACGACGTGGGAAGGGCTCCTGACTTTGAGCAAATTGACACATTGCGTACATGTGACACCAATCTGCGAACAGCAGCACGTCGGTGGGAGGCAAGCCAGGCCAATGTGCGCGTCATCGACTTTTTCAGATGTTCCCAAAGGAAATAACAAAGGCCACGTAGACCTGTCTGATGTCATGGAAACAAACAAAGAGACCTTGACCTGTTATGGAAGTTGTGGCCGGCACATGCCGGCACGATCATTGTATGGGCCGATACAAATTCACCCTTGCTCCCTATGGTGAGGGCAAAGTTTGGTATCGAGCTCACTCTGCAGAAAGCACTCATCTGCAGACCGTGTAGCCGGGATGCGAGACATCCTGTGGCCCGGTATGTCCTTCAGGTCGCAAAAGAAGAAGCAGTCGCACATCCGAACAAGCGACCACCTCGCTTCGCCTTGTTTTTTGGAGGATGAGGTATGTCTGAACAATCGAACATGTGTTCCTACAGCTGGAAACCAGAAACCTGGATTGCACAGATCAATGATTTCACGTGAGTGCATCTGAGTTCTGTTTGTGAGCCGTTTTGGCAGCGACTGAAATATAAAAACAACTGGGCATTGTTGTTCCCGTGACAAGGTGTTTTCCATCAATAGGAAAGATGTAGTCTCAACACACATTGTGTTCTTCCACCATAGATGCGGGGTGAACAACAATAAGTGAGGGTTGAACCAGCAAAATTTGCGGTTTAACCAACATAAAATACCATGAAAGAACACATAAACAGTGTTTTTTTTTGTTTTTCTGGCATAGATAATGAACAAATGGGATTTGGCCGTGGCTGAAAATGATTGCCACCAAAATTTTTGGGTTCAACTTTCGATGCTAGAAACAAAAGATGTTATGGGTCAACTGGTGCCCTTTTTCACCTGTTTTTTCAGCCATAGCTATTTAAGCCGTGCTATCCTTGGGTTCATAGCTGCCTATAGCTGGTCATCTGGTCCGGGATCATCCCAATCGGGGGAAGAAGCCAATCAGCCAATCAGATAGGGATACAGAGAATTGTTTGTTCTTAAGGATCCATAAGGATCCAAACAATTAATGGTTCAGATAGGTGAAAAAAAACATCCTATGTGAAAAAAAAACGTTCCTATGTGAATTGAAGGTTCTTCGTGACAATTAAAAAAAAACACATCCCTAACTGCAGCATGAAACATGGCCAGCTGCGAAATCAACATCTTTGAAATCAATCAGCAATCCATTGTAGGGATGATGTATCTCACATTTCTACTAGAAATATGAGTCATAAACTTTGCTAATGGTTCTAATGTTCCTATAATCATGGTGATTATTTCAATTACTAGTATATCCTATAAATTTAGTTAAATGGTGATTAGACATCAATAATCCCATAATCATGGGAAGGTCCCCTCCTAGGCGTCGTGCGTTTTTGAACACACAACGCCTTTAAAACCTGCATTTCGTGAATGTTTTAAAAATGCATCTTCCAAGAGGGGTCTCCGAAGTAACTTTTTTTAACCTCATCGCGCATACATTGCTTTCAAAGCTTTGGACAGGTGTGAGACACAGTCGTTCTTTTCTTGAGATCGCCACTGCATATATATATATATATACATATGTCTATATATGTATTATATATATATATTTTTTGTATATGTTGTATATTTCCCAGGTGACGGGTCAGGTCGTCTGGCAGGTGGAGCCACTGCATATATATATATATGTCTATATATGTATTATATATATATTGTATATGTTGTATATTTCCCAGGTGACGGGTCAGGTCGTCTGGCAGGTGGAGCCACTGCATATACATAAATATGAGCCCGGTACTCCTATATGGTAACTATGACATGAGCCAGAACAACGCAACAAGCAAAACCAAGGTGAAAGCCATGAAACAAAGCAACATTCCACTTGTGACACGAAGACATGAACATAAGCAACAAAGACGTATCGAAAATGTCTGAACCAAACGAAAGACATGAGATCATTTTATTTTCAAAACTATTCTAACAACGCACAAACAAATGAACCGCGTGTCAAGAACGCACATGCAGGAACGTTAATAAACAAGAACGTTATCATCCCCCCCCAACCCCCCCCACCCCCCCCCCCCCCCCCCCCCCCCCCCCCACCCCCCCCCACCCCATCCCACCCCCCCGAACAAACCCTGGCATGCCAACACGCAACTATAAACGCAACAGCGTCAAGAAACACAGCAAAACGCGCGGAACATGCAACGACGCACACGAAAACAAGGAAGCACGTGAGATGACATGGATGCTTCGGCAGTGACGCAAACATGAAAAAATGACAACACTCCGCGACGCCCTCGAGGGGACCTTACCATAATCATCCCATAATCATTATATAATATTGCGTCAGAAAGAAGTTCATACTCTGCACTCCCTTGGGGCGCTTCAGGTCACGAATACCTTTAGATTATCGCCTTGCTAACGAGATTCGTTACTAACGAGATTTGGCCAGCAGAAGTCACAAGACAACAAGACAATAACATACAACGCGACAAATCAATATGATAGAGGAAACATATGAGATAGTATCACTATAATAGCCGTTAATGTATCACTAATATGACTGAAAGGAAACTAGTGTATCAGCAAATCAGTATGTATCACTACTATGATATTAATCAGTAAATCAGCTACATCAGTATCAATAGTATTAGTACTGATTAATATACTTTATATAGTCATATATATATATATACTGATTTACTGATATACTGATATACTTACAGTGATTATTGTTTATATAAACCAGATATAAACCATATTTACTATAAGTATATCAGTAACATATCACTCACAGATCGGTCAAGTCACTGGACCGAATATCCCGAAGACAGCCCAATATTCAAAAAGAGATAGAAAGCTACAGTTCCATTAGAAATAGATCATCGATGCGCAACTGAAAGGTATACAAATATGTATATATATACTATATTATATATATATAGATAGTATAATATGTTGTATAATGTTGTATAATATGGTATACATATATGTATAAAAAATCTATGTATATATATAATTATACAACAGTATACATAGGTTTTTTATTTGTCCATCTTTTGCTTTTGGAGCATCTTGAAAACGGGATTACTATAATATATGGTTTATCAGAAAACAACATGAAGTGTGTTAATTGTGTAGCGTAATACTCTGATAGATATATATATATATAGTGATATTGGCAATATATCATATACAATGATAAATATCTGGATATTGTAGTAATATCTAATAATCTAATATTCGATTAAATGAGTAAAATCTGATATATAGGGTATATTCAATGATAATATATATATATGTATATATATGTATATATCCGATACTATCTGGTATTTGAACATAGTAATGGAAAACGGTCCATTTATGGATGATTTTCCTATATTTGCCTATTAAAACTTATGATCTTCCATAGCTGTGGGTAAATGATCATAATTCACACACCTGAAAAGTTCGGCTATTTTGGGTTAGTTACCCCTACCAACCACTATGCGCTGTAAGGTCCAAAAATAATTTACCCAGAATAAGATACCATTTGGGAATGGTTTACACCACCCATCCATGGTGATTTTAAGGGACATTTAGGGGATGGATTCTTGGCATTCCATCAGTGGCTCCAGGCGCCTCAATGGTCACCAAGCCAAAGACTGCCTGTGTAGCGTCATGGTGACCCGGCGGTGGATTTTCAATGGGATCTACCAAGAATTTATTGGGAGATCCACGGGATATCAACGGGATAGCACTGGGATAACAATGGGGATAACAATTGGGATACTGTAATAATTGGGATAACATTTGACATAATAACTGGGATAGTCATTGGGAGACAATGGGAAATTTGCCCTCTGGTAATCAATCTTCAATCTTCAGTGCTTTGGGATAGGGTAATCACTATGACCGGTTCACCAAAGATGTGATTTTTCACATTGCAGATTATGGGATTTCATTGGTTAAACATCAACAATCTCATAATAATCCCATAATAATACTATGTTTACGAAAAAATATCCCTATCACTGTATCCAATACTCATGACCATTTTACCAGAAATATGATTGAACATGCTCATTGAGTATTAGATATGTGGTTTATTAGACTGATCTATGTCAGAATGCTGACTAGAATTTGTAATATACTGTAGGAAAATTGACATTATGGGTTAACCCCAAATAATTATGGGAATATGATTGGGGATTACCCAACGATCTTGGTCAAACAACGAAGGATCTTAGCCAATCATTTCTATACGAGGGATGTGTGCTGATGTAGCGCCAGGATTCTGATATGTGGGGTTTACTCCACCATCCTAATTGGATATATATATATATATTATACATATTTGGTTTACGACCAATATTGTAGAGCCCATAATCATTGGATATAATGATGCTGTAGATATGTGAGCTTATAACCCCAGTTATATGTGGAAAACATAGGGTTAATTTTGTATATCCAGGAATGGTGCAGCCCGTAGAATGACCTCATCATTGGAACCAGACCTTCTCAGGAGGTCTTTGGTAGGGAAGTATAGTCCCATTGTTGAAGTTGTTGCTTGAGTTCGTCTAAGTCTAATTGTATGTTTGTGGTGGATTGGTTGCTGCTTCCATTCAAAGTCCAATGGCACATCTTACCTCGAGTAGCCGTGATGACCACTATCAAAACAGAGGTAAACTGATTTCTCTGTCAGGGTCAACATGCAACATTAATATGTTTGTTGCTTGAAATCCGCTTGGTGAAATTGGTCCTACCGTGCCCAAATCTTTTCCTTAATCCCCTTCTTCCCATCACCGCCTGCATGGCATTCTTGGGCATCGATGAATATTCCACGCGTGTCTTCAGGGACAAAGGTCCTGCCTGTGCCGCAGAATGAAATTGCTCATGAACTTGTGATATATATATGCAGCGGATTACATAAATGTGTATATTTATCTATCTATATATATAATATACATATATAATCATATACATATATCAGGTCTGCACGCGATCCCTGAATCATATACAAGTCTGGTGGGTGTTGAATGTATAGCCATCATGGTTCACAGTGTTATCCCCATGATTCCTGTACCCGCTGGTTCTTCAGCAGCGTTCAGTCAGGCTGACCTCAAGAGTTCGAGGGATACCAAGAAGTCTGCTAAAATTGCCATGAAACAATTGCTATGGGCACCAAACACCAAAAATAAATTCTTGTGATCTACTTCCCAGAGGTTGACCTTAGAAACTTATATAAAACCATCACTAGTTTGATGTTTGGGAAAAACTACAGGAAGCCATACAACTTACATCACATATGAATGTTTTTACCACAACTTACATACATTTGTTTACCACTCAAATATGGACGTTTCCTGGATTCCTGTTCCCCAAAAATGTTCCCGCCTGGCTGAAGTCCGGATCCGGCTCGGCAGGCGCAGACACAGCGGGGTTGTCCAACCTTGCCATGGATCCATGTTTTTTTTTTTTCGGAACGATGGGATCATATGGGATCTATGGGATCTCATGTCTCTCTTGAATCGTCAAGTTAACTAAACAGGATTCAAACTCAGCAAACAAAGCACTTCATGCCAATGGTACGGCAATCCGATCCCCCTAATATTTAGCCCGCCCCCTAAAGGTGCCAAATATGCGTATCTAAATCCCCTGCTACACCATGGTTTCTGATGTTTCTGCAGGGTATATTAGACGGGGGAAAGGGATAATTACAATAAGACCACTTTCCAAAACTTGACAACTCCAAATGGTTCAGCTTCTGCTCGCCAATTTCACTGGAAATAACTGATCATGTCTTTTCCTACTCAATGGGTGTACAATGCTTCCTTTCAAGCACATGTCCTCCTGAAAAAAAACATAAAAAATAAACATGGTTCAATGGTTCAACCATACCTCAGATCGTCCACGACGCCCTAATCTGCACCTACTCCCCAAACAACCATTCATGTGGGTAACGTTCTGTAGGGAGATTCTATGGCCCATTGCATGGCTTCAATTCAACTTAGGGGTGCCTTCAAAAGTGTCACGACGCACATCCATTCCAGGCAAGGAACACATCATCATCCTTGAAATCATGAGTGACCCCCAACCTGCAGATGGCAAGTCCCAAATCGCAATAGGGCAAAACCCATGACAAACTGCATCAAAATTTGGGGTATCCTATACATTACTACAATACACTGTACTAACTATCCATACTGTATAATGTATAATTATATATATATAATATATATATATATATATATATTATATTTATATTTGAGACAAGCGCCATTTGGTCGGACTACTTCTCTGGATTACCAAACCTAAAGAGGAAGAGGCACTGGTGTGATATCAACGCTGATCTCCATGCTTTTTTAAACGCTGATCTACGAATATCTACGATGGCGATTTCCATTGGTCTATCCCTCAGAAGAAACAACCTTCAGTAGCCCTAATTTGTTCAGTTTGTGTAACGTTTTGATTTGAAACTTTACCCGCAGAGTGGACCATGGAGTCACATTGGGTCATCATCCTAGCTGGCGTAGCGACCAAAGAAAACAACAGAAGACCCTTTTGGATCCTTTTGGTTGGCAATAGTCCCCAGATCCGCTGTTGCAAGGAAGTATCAACCCCCAATAAACAACCATCTCGCTGAAGTGTACGAACTCACCAATCTGAAATAAAATCATGATTAGGTCACTGTGAGGTCGTCTTAATTCACACAGCACTGTTTCTTTCCAATTGATTTCCACAGCCATTATGGTTGACTTGGGCCCCTAAAAGCGGGAACTCTGTACCCCAAAATTGGATGATATTCTTCTAGGAGGAACACTTACTCCTTTCTAATGAGATCTTCTCATACTGGTATGGCATTTACCGACCATGACACAGCTCTGCAAGTGAAAATTCACCCGCCCTTTCCACTGGGCGCCAAAACTCCGCACGTTCACCGTACCAGGTCCTGCCCCAACACTGCGATGGAATGGGGTGAACTGAACTGCCTGATGACGCCAGCGTCATCAAATAAAGATCTGCATTCCATTCATTCCATGTCCCATTTCTAAGGGTTCAACGCAGCAAATCTACATGCCACTACCCATTTAGCAATTTCAGGAAGCGAAACTAAGTGCCCAAACCCCCAGAGGTGACCCACAATATCCCCCAATATCCTAAAGGTTTGTTAAGGGCATTAAGGGATGTTAAGGGTCTATGAACCACCAACAACCACCGTTTCTAAGATCAGCATGGCTTCTGAATCAGCTATGGGGGGATCACCTTTCCGGCCTGTCGACCACGGATCAAGGGACATCGAAACATGTATCCGTTGCCATGATTCACGGCATGGAAAACAACATGTGTCCTTCTTGTTGGTGAAATCAGCCCTGCTGGCTACAATTCTTGCTGGCAAAGGCTTCATGTTGGGTTGGCCCACATGTTTGGTGGATTTTGGTGGTAACGTTGCCATTTATATATATATATATAGTTTAATCCAACATGTGTGAGCTAAAGCATATATTATCCATTATTATCCAACATAAATCTAATGTTTTTTCACACCCATCAATCTCAATGATTTTTTACCAGGTTTCCTACATCTCTTATCACCAGCATCGGTGAAAATGTGGGTTGCTCTGAAAATAGGCCATCCTTAATTTTGATAAATCTTGATAATGTATTTTGACCACATAAAACGGGTTCATCAACTACCCCAAATTTTGATGAATTTTGATAATTCATCAGCAGGTTCCCTATGCAATGATTGGGGGTCAAAACCCAATGGATTTGTTGTGATCATCCCCGCAAACATTGTCATTTGGGGGCATACCCAATTTTCAGACACACCCATGTGAGCCACTAAAAATACCCCTATCCATCCCTATCCCATCTGATTATACTAGTTGGTTGAAAACGGTTTCCCTACTATGTGTTAGTTCATAATCCCCAACAACCCAGCTTTCTACAAACTCCCCGAAAACCGACTTCAATCAGATCAAATCGGCCAGGGTATCCCTATAATGACCAATCAGTTAGACTATTTTTGATAGCTCATGGTGTTGAATAAATCAGGTCCTGTTTCTCCTTTCCCGTGGGCGTTGCAACGGAACCAGATCCGCGGGAGTGTGTACCGTGCTGCGGCGCCGTGACGCATGCGGGGCCGGGGGCCTACCAGGGCTGGGGGGGCTGGGGTGTTGAGGAAAATCACTGAGAAATATATGGGGAATGGGGATTTCACCAGTAAAAGAAGGTGATTTAATGGGATTTGTAGCTGATTTGTGATAGCTAAGTTGATTTATTACTCGGTCAACTATGGTAAATGGGGGATATAACTATAGTCAATGGGTTTGCAGACCAACTTATAACCGGGGGCCCTCACCGTGTAGCATCTGTTAATGAAACATTAAAAATCCCCATGTATTACCATGTATAGATGATTTTCCTATGAAAACCTCTATCCATAGTTTTTTTTCCATTGACATGTTTGATTACCAAAGGGTATGGGGATTTATACTTCCCATTGAAATAGTGTTTCAACCATCAATCCACCTCTACTATATGGGACTAGTCGTGTCAATGGGAATGTGTCAATGGGAATGTGCCTGGGATCAACTATTAATATGTTCTACGTATTCCTATCGACCTTCCATATATGGTGATGTTTTACTATCATCAAAATGGAGATTCAAGCATAAACAACTAAAATAGTGGCATTTATACGTTTCTATACTTTTCTTTATCCACACACCTATATTGTAAGTGACTTAATTTACGCACTACCCCATTTCATGTATTGGATCATTGAAACCTTCCCAAGTAACAATGGTTATCCCGCAGATTTTTCCAAGTAAGAATTTCATGACATTGCCCATTCTCAATGGAAATATCACATAATTTGTTTAAACGAGATGAAACAAACACATTTTTCGGATGAATATGTAATTAGCTATTCAGAAGGATTTGACTGAACATAAACGGGAACACGCATTTATTTAATTTCAACATAACCCACTTAACAGGAACCATCTTTTCCAGTCGTTAACAAAAGAATAAAGGGTGCGTGTGGCTCATGCATGTTTATTCCTGATTGCTTTGAAGCATGCCTGCGTTCAAGCTGCACTTCCGCTGAAGTCCGCTTATGGTGGAACCTATGCAGGCATTGCTCCAAGATATGCTGCAAGAATGAAGGGTCCGGGTAGCTTCTTCAAATTACATTGTGCACCGGCTGCACCACAGCCCAGCTCCATTGCACCACGGCACACGGACATTAGAGGTGAAACCAGCATCCTTATGGTGCACCATCGAAAAGACTATTGCTGCCACTTAATCTTGGAAACAATTGTTCTTGGATATTGTTGGGGAGAATTTATGCCCAAAGGAAACATATGCACCTACCCAACCAAGGTTTAAGCAGCCAATTAGCAACTAGCCAGTAAGTGGGATTGATTTACCCAGTTAGACATGGAATAACCACTTGCTAACGCGGAACAAAATAGGCTTAGTACACCCATTGTTTCTGTTCTTCACTTTTCTTGCCACAAATGTAGTGTTGTAACATGCTACAACACATGTTCCTTCGTAAACGGTATCCCATCAGGATCCCAGATTCCCCCGGTCATTGGCAAGCAGGGAAATCCCACGAAATCGAACAAAATTGTGGTTTTCGTAGGAAAATCACCTCTAAATGGAAGTTTATAGCAGGGAAAATCGCCTAGAAATGGATGTTTGAATGGGAACATCCACTATAAATAGAGGTTTTAGCTGGGCAAACCATCCCAAACTCGACATCAGGACCACCCCAGCCGCGCCCCGAGGAGACGTTCTGCACCTGGCAGTGTGGTAGCGATGCTCCATCGGCTGTGGCTGAACATGTTTCTTCATTATACTCATTCCAAGTGTCATTTGGAGGTAAAGCCACTTTTCAGACACGCATCTATAATCCTCTATATCTATCTATTTATATATATATATAATACTATACCATTCTACCCCCATCAGATCACCATTAGATACCCATGATTAACCCTTTAATAAGCCTATTCTCAAGCATCCCCCAAAAAGATGGAAAAGTACTGAACACTATTTGAATACGATCTTGCTGTTCTATCTTTTTAGGGGTTGCTACACATTATCTAATCAAGTATTAGCCCTTTATAAACCCACATCACCATTGCCAACCCATTATGAACATTTTTCTACCATGATGAACCCATTATCATTCCCATTATGGGACCGGCCACAATTATAGAACGGAAGTTGAGGAGTACGAAAGTACGGTTCTTTACCGTACCCTGTTGTTCCATAATTCCCGTTTCCTCAGAACGTTGGAACAACAACTTGCTCTCAACTTACTCCCAACCTTTTTTGTCGTTCTATAATTCTTGTTGTGTTCCATAATTGTGTTTTTCACCATATTTCTCGCATTTACCAATTCTGTTCTATAATTGCGTGCTCTATAATTGCGTATTCTATAATTAAAATTGCAAAAATTCCGTTCTGGTTTCTATATAAATTCTTCCGGGGTCCCTGAAAGATTCATAAAATGATGTGAATACATGTAAGTAACCTCCAAGACTCACACAATCTGCGTGTTGCCGGTAGTTTCAATGGGAATTTGAGGACCGAGGTATCTACTGTACCATATAAGGCCACATTCTTTCAGAAAGGGACGCTCTCAGTCCCCACGTTTCTCAGTCCCCACGTTTCTCAGTTCCCACGTTTCCACATGTCTGGACAGACGACGTGACAGATTACATATGAATCTTTGTTAGGAAAAATGTTACGTCTACGGAATTCATGCTTATGAATCTGTAGTGTCACTAACAAGCAGACTTGAGGAACACCTGACTCTGATTATATTTCTAATTCACAGGAAAGAAAGAGCCACACAGAAAACAAACGATTTTTTTTTTTTGGGCTGACCCCCCCCTTTACCTCTCCCAAGACGGCCTATAGAGCAAACCCAGATATATTATTTTCTTGTCGTGGAGCTTCTTACATTTGTGTTCTGTTCTTGTTCTTGTTTCTTGCTATTTTTCTTGTTTCTGTGGATATCTCATATGCTTACCTGATGCGTCCTGATAATTTGCTTTGAAGAGTGTTTGCAAACGCAACGGACAGGCGTATAAACTAACAAGGTAGACATACCATAGAAATCCCATAAGAACCCAGTGGAAATCATATAAGAATAACATATGAGACTGTAGCAGATAACATGGCCCAGAGAGCCACCTAGAGCCACCAAGATAGCCCAGCTAGGGGAGGGGAGGAATCATCTGAAAATATCATAGATATAACATAGAATTAGTATAGGTACCACAAAGAAATCCCATAAGAATATCATAGATTTCCCTCAGACATCTCATAGGAATTCCATAGAAATATCATAGACATACCATAGAAATCCCATAAGAACCCACTGGAAATCCCATAAGAATACCATACGAGGCTGTAGCAGGCAAGATGGCCCAGAGAGCCACCTAGAGCCACCAAGATAGCCCATCTAGGGAGACACTGTCCTGTCTCCTATTCTGTTTGATTGGTCTCTGCCCCATAGTAAGCAGACTGGGATCCCCTCCATTGCTTCGATTTCCCATGGCCTTGACAAGAAAACAAAAGGAGAACAGGTATAAAGGGAACACGAAGAATAAGATGATAAAAAATCTGGATGGCTCTCTGGGCTATCTTGCCTCAAGCAATGTCATCTGTCTCTAGGTGCCTCTCTGGGCTATTTTGTCTATTACAATGTTGTCTGTCTCCAGATAACTCTCTGGGCTATCATGTTTGCTGCACACTCGTCTGTACCTTGGAGGCTCTTTAAGCCATTGAGTCTTCAGCCTCATCCTTGTCCGTTACACGTGCATCTGTCTCTTGGCAACTCTCTAGGGTATCTTGTCTGCTAGAAAAGTCATTTGTCTCTAGTTGGCTCCCTGGGCCATCATGCATGCAATCATACTTGAATGTTCAACCAAATAAGGATCACGATCCATATTCTGCAAAAGGTCAAAAAAATTAAATAACAATATCTATAAAACGCCAATAAATAGAATTATATTCACGATACTTCTAATCTGTAGTTCAGCTGCAACAAATTCCGGATCGCTTGTCACACTGCCAGCTTCCACTCATGCTGTTTGTTGATTCTGACTGTGCTTTCTCATGTGCAGTCTGGCTCTGCATATCGCTCGCTCTATAAACTTGTGTAAAAGATTCTTCGAAGCAATGGCCTCTGGACCACCTCCTATGCTTTCCGATACCCAGCGTTCCATGAAGAGGACAATGGCGCGAGATGGGATGGTGCGGAAATATGACGAGATCATTCTGCGCTATGCCAATGTTCAACCTTTCATCCCTCGCGTCGATGACATCGTGCCAAAGAACATCTGGGAACGACAAATGCAACGAGCCAGAGAGCTGTTACGTTCCATCCAAGTCTGTGACGAAGAAGGCCGTCGGCAAGATCTTCACCGCATCGTTCGTCGACTTTGCCCATTCGAGGTCGATGAGCATGCTCGTTTTCGTCCGATGTTACCTGATCCCGCTGATGACTGTGCAGATAGTGATTGGATCAATGCCAATCTTCTTTTCTTGCAATTAGTATGGACTTGATCGTCTCGGGCGATTGTTCCAGTGATGCCACATTTATGAACACGTCATGGAAAGACGTATCAGCATATGTCTCTCCGTGCTAGCGATTGGACTTGGATGGTCGGAAAAGAAATTACGTACACTCTGTCTTGCGTTGCATGTTGTCTTCCAAACATTCTCGAAACTCTGCATTCATCATTGCATGTCAACATTGGCAGCCGCATTTTTGATTTGTGTTAGATGTTGTCTTTCGAGTGTTCTCGACTGTCAGCATTCATCTTTGCCTGTCAAGTATTGGTCCGCATATTACTTATGTGCGCATGAACTTCGACAGTCTCGTCGATCATGTTTGTGTTTCATATGTTTACTCTCCCGCAGCACGCCTGACCAGCTCACGAACTTCCTAAGTTTTGTCTTTTGTGCGTCCATCGTTGCTCATGTCTGAGTCAGTGGGGTTGACTCAAGAGATCGAGATGGCGATGGACGCCGACTATCCGGATGGAGCAATTCTCCAAGCCTCATCGCCCGAAGTGCAACCGCCCGAAATCGATGCGCCTCCTGCGAAGCGTCTACGTGGTCGTGATCTGTTTCTCGGACGTATGTTTCCAGCTTTCCAGTATTCGGATTTCTCTAGCCATACAGTTTCGTATTTCATGTTGTTCATATGGCTGTGGCATACCGCTTCATAGACTTGAGTTGTCTCCTGCTTTTCTTTCAGGTTCCGTGCGTTTTCCGATGTGCAGCGCTCTGCCCATCTCGCTCCTCCTCCTCCTGATGTTCGACCTGAACAAGCCAAATCACTCTTGGATGTATGGAAGAACTATCGCACATGGGGTAGCAACAATTATCCAAATCTTCCTGTCCATGTTCGCACAATGATGGAGCTCATGAACTGCATCGCATCCATGAATGTTTCCAACTACCAAATGTCGACGAAGCAGAAGCTTCTTCTCATTATGCTTGTTGATGGTGAACACTGGCGTGCACATGATCGTCAAATGTTCTACTATGAGAATGGTGTGTGGAAGATGAAGCCGTCTCTCACCATCGAAGTCTGGGATCTATTTCTTGCTGTTGAAGGTTTGTTGTTGACCGTCTCGAAGCACTTCGAAGATCAAGAAGGAGATGCAAGACCAGCATGGAATTGGAATGCTATTCGGGATGTTGTCTCTGATACGATCCAAGGACATGTCCATGACGCTCTCCATTTCTTCGGGAATGTGGCCAAAGAAGCAAGTGACCATCTGCGGCAAGTCACATCCAACAAGGCATGGAAAGCACTTTGGCTTCGTCGATGTGCAGACATGCTAGCTTCATTCCGAGTGAATTGGGATTCGAACAAGGTCCAGTCACTCTCAAAGCTTTTTCTTCTTGAATGGGATACTCCATTGCCAAAGTCACAGGGTGTTTGCTTCAGAGACGTGTACTTGGATGCAGATAGGAAACCTGCAAGCAAAAGCCCGTCCAATGACTGCTACATGCATGTGGACTATGCCTTCTACATAGAAAACCTCTTGCAGGAGTATCCGAACATCAATCTCCAACAGCATCAAGAAGGATTACGTTTGTTCTTGGAGTCGCTCTACTTTCAGAACGAACATATCTTTCAAGTGAAACTTTGTTTTTTACATGCCGCATTCAAAAAGGCTTGCACTTCAAAGATGATCTTCGAGATTGGCAAAGGCGGCGATGGCAAGGGGATGGAAGCTTATCTTGATCGTGCTGTATTAGGTGAAGATCAATCTGCAACTTTGGATTGTGGCGTGTTCTTGGATCGACAGGAGTTCCGCAAGTCTGCCGAGTTCGCATGGAACAAGGCGAATGTGCGTATCCAGGAAATGGATCAGCACGCAAGATTCGTTGCAGATCTTTGGAAAAGATTCATCGTCGATGAAGAAATAGATTGTCGTGTCAATTATGGATTTACATCCAAACGACGATTTGGGTCATCTATGAAAGTTCAGGAACTCAACTTTGAGAACATCCCGACCATCGAGGAGTGTCGAGATCGACTCCAGGCTTGTGAGCATCTCAAGCGTCGCATCGTTTGCTTTCGTATGGGGAAGGCTCGCTTCGTGCTTGACGACCATGCAGTGAACTATGAACACGGGGTTTTCCGTCTCATTCCGCAAGATGAGCTGGTCCCTTTCTTGACACATCCTGCAACGGCTTCATGTTTCTTTCGAGATTGGTGCTTGCCCTTCTTTCAGGAAAACTCTTTGGATGAATGTTTGAAAATGATCCTGGATCTTAGCCATGTACATGAGGACTTGGTCAACGACACCAATTGGTTGGCTTCTCGCTTGTCCGGCTGGAATGGCCCTCCTCCAGGCACAGACATTGACCTCCAGACAGAGAACGACGAATTGATCACGATCGTGCATCGGAAAACGCCCATGAAGACATTCATCAAGGAGTATCTCATTTCAAAGGTTGAAGATATTCCAGGAGCTGTGCAGTCTACCCGTGGTCGACGAACCAAGTTGCAGTTCTTTCTTTCTGCCTTGGACCACTCCACCATCAAACTCTTTCGTCAACATGATCAGCATGCTTTCGAGAAACTCTTGGTGGATTGGGCTTCTTTGGCTGCAGCTATGGATGCTCATGGTGGTGCGCTTGCTTTCGGTCAGTGGAAAGATTGGGGCTGCACCTTTGATCTGCGGCATCTGCAGCAAGAATGGGAGTCAAATCTCTTTGTGGACTTGCAAAATGAATGTCAAGGAAATGTCACTCATCACGGAAGTCTCTCATCTCAAATCCGGCCGACTGTAGCAACATTGCAGGAAACAGTGGACTTGGAGGCTTTGCAAGCCTACTTGGAAAGTGGCTCAGACAGAAGGACTTCGCAGCTTCGGGCCTATGTTGATCGTCATGCTTCTGAAGGAGTTCGCGTGGGGCGCTTTTCTACTATCTCTGTCGAGTACTACAAGGCCCCCAATTATGGTCGTTTACTTGCTCGTGGCCCTGCTGCACAAAAACTCACTCGAGAAGCTCGTGGAAAAGCCTTCCCCCATGCCATTGAGATTGATGCAGCTTGTTGCCATCCTCGTCTTCTCTTGCGAAAACTTCGAGATATGGGATTGGACGAGGCAGGTAGTTTCCAGATGCTTCGTCTCTTCTGTGAGAACTACAAGTCATGGCGGTCAGTTTTGGCTCAGTATCTTTGCGTTGATGTCCAGGAGGCAAAAAAGGAACTTATCCGCATCTTCTACGGTGGCAACCCGCGTTTCGATATTCCATGGCTCCGCAAGCTTGGGGAAGAAGTTCAGGCAGCTGCTCATCTGATTCTACAAGATCACAGACATACTCATCTTTCTGATTTGTACAATGATCGCAGACATCCTGAATTCAGTCGGCTTTGTTCTTTGCTATCATTCGATGAAGCTGACCTATTGGACACCATTCGGACCCATGCGCATGTGAAAATGGAGGTTGCTCTCTTTGACGGAGGCATTGTGTCGTGCACATCTGTGCAAGATCTCTTTTGGTTGCATCGTGCTTGCGCAGAAACTTCCCACAACATCATCCCCGTCGAGATCAAAAGTGAGCCGCAAAGTATGAAGACTTTCTTGCATATGTTGGTGTGCAAGAACATCGTGAACATGATGGAAGTCGAAATTCCTTCCACTCCGGCAAACTGTTTGCTCTTTGCTGTTCAAGGTGTTGCACCTCATGTTGATCTCAGTAGTTTGCGCCAAGTTTTGCAAGACAAGCCAGAGTCCTCGCTTTCCGCTCATCAATTCAATGAAGCTTTGGCAGATGCAGACTCTGCAGCCGACACTGCTTGGCAATTGCATTGCATCTCCAAGGATGAGTTGCTCTCCGTTGTCCCAGCGCACCCGATCCTTTGTCATGAACGTTCTGGAGAATGTCAAGGACACTGGTGGTCCTTTGTGATGATTGAGGATGAGGCAAGGCTATTTGATTCTGAGATTCCTTCTTTCGAAGTGACTGCTCGATGGGAAACCTTTGCATCTGCTTTGGAAAAATCTGATGCATTGACTTTCTTCGAACTGAAACAGATGCACTTGAAGACGACTTTCTTCGAACTGAAACAGATGCACTTGAAGACGGAAATGTCGATGTCAGAGGCATATCACTTGCAAGGTCGTGGCCGTGCGGATGGATCCTCCACAGTGAAGTCCGTGCGAACACCCCTCAAGAATTGTGCTCTGTGTGGATCTTGTCTATATCCCAAGCGCAAACAGTTCTCTACGGCAACAGTTTATAGACTCGAAGGTCCCGAGACTGTCCTGCACCAGCCTATGCGATGTGGACAGAAGTCATGCCAAGCCTCCCACTACTACAACTTCGTGTGGAGCAACGGCATCAAGACCAATTCGCTCGATCCCAACCAGGCCGAGTATATCTTCGTGACCGCCAACACCGGGTTCCACGTCTCCTTCCTTGCTTATCACGATGCCCTGCAATTCAGAGGCTACTTGAGCAATCACGCCATCGCCTGGTCCCAAACGAACGCATTATGGGCAGATGACCATGCACATGCTCGATTTCACAAGGACTATGCATTGGCTCGTCTCTTGGTATGGATGAAAAAAATTGCTTCAATCTATTAACCAGTCTGATGCAGTACATATATATATATATATATATTTAATTTTCGTATATGTATGTAAGAGAATATTCATATATATATATATATATCATTATTGTTTTCTGTTGAGCAATTACTTAATACTATTGGTAGCCCTATGTGTATATTATCAGTTTCTCCACTGTGTTTGGAACGAGTCTGTCATGATGAAACAATCAATATGTAGGAATATATATGCATTGTTCTGCAGCATTACAAACAAGGTCTTCTCTGGAATGTCATGAGCGAACTGTCGGTCATGTGGAAATCCACTATGCCAAGCACTTCCATTCAGAAACTTCGCACAATTCGCGTAGATGATCCTGTGCATGAAGGGCATCTTCGGGACTTCCACCGATGGTGGCAAACCATCGAAACTCCCCATCGCATGTCGCAGTCTGTCAAAGAGATCGCTGTCGATGGCCACGAGAAGATCGCCACAAAGTGCTATCATGAAGCACCAGCTCGCGGTGGTCGTCCTCGGAAGGATGGCCATGTCAAATTGTTCTACAACGGCTGTTTCATGGCGACACACCCTGGGACCGGAGTCATCCTAGGCCTTTTTGAGATGAAAGATCCAGAGAATTCGGATGTTGCGCTCAATCTTGTGCAAAATTTGCTACCGCATTATCCCAAAGTGGATGCAGTACTCTACGATCGAGCCTGTAGCATCTTCAAGAAGGCTAAGAACACACAGGATTTGAAGCCTGTCAAGTTCTGGTGTGTAGACAAATTCCACGCAAAGGGACATTGCAACAAATGTAAATGTTCCCCGTCTGTGGTGCCAGCAATCGATAAGCGACTGAAAAGAGTCAACACATCGATTTCTGAACAGGTGTTTTCGTGGTTCCGTGGGTACAGCTCCACATTCAACTCCATGAACGCGAAACACCAAAGATTCTATGTGTTGGCTTACTCGCGTCGACACAATCATTTGCAAAAATTAGATGACATGCAGCACCTCAATCCTTGGTCTGCCCGTAAGTCCACTTTGAAGCGAGCCGGCGTGCTGCAGAAGCCAGCCAGCCGCAAATATAAGTGTAGGGTCAAGAAGCAAGCCGTGAAGAGACCCGCACAGAAATGATTTGATGATGTGGACTAGAAGATATTTCCAACATCTTCCCAAACCCAAACTCTTCCGCCATCATTTTGCAATTCCGTCATTCGTTGGTGCAATGCATCAAATCAAAGGTGCCAGAGCGGTTCCGCTTCAAAATCTCTCACAGCTGTCTCGCTCGTCGGACAAAAAAGAGAAGATGCACGCACTGAATCGTTACTGCTTGCTCATGAAATCTTCCACGTCTCAATGCCATAATCAGCAATAGATTGCAACACGCCATACAAGAAATTGTCCATGTGAATACACATATTGTTTAAATATGTATAACCTAGAACTGCTAAGACGCAACCCCTTGTAACATCCAAATAATGGATTTCCATAAATCAGAGAAGCAAAATGAAGCACCGGAAAAAAACATAGATTGACATTAACGTTTCGGAGTCTGGGTACGAAATTTCTTCTTTCCATTTGGTACTTTCTGAACCTTCATGCCTTGGTCCTCTTTTTCTTGGCCTTTGTTTCATCAGGTGGCTTGCAGCTGGTGTTCAGCTCATCTTTCTTTTCGTGATCTTCCTTTCAAGACTCCTGCAACCATATCATATTTGATTCTCTAAGGCACTGTCATATCTCCACTTCTATCGCACTGGCCTCCACTCTATCGACTAGCATTCTCTATATTGCTCTGCCATCCCATTGCAGTGACATACCATTGGCTTTGAGATCCCTTTCCTTTGACACTCCTTTGCTTTGGCATCCCCAATATGTAGCATAGATTTTGTTTCGTCATTATTTGAATTCAAATGCGATTTAGGGTATGTGCCGCAGTATATAATTTTAACAAAAATGTCCATATTATGTCTTAACTTGATGAACTTAGAATAAACTTTGTCATATCTAGAACCATACTTAATCAGTAAGAATTTATTTGAAGAAATAAAATAAATGCATTAAAAATAACAAAAAACAGCTAAAAATGACGTAAAAACTGGGGACCCACAACGTCCCGCACTCCATTCTTTGGGGTATTTATGGTAATATTCCCTTACATATATATAGACCTTACATAGGGCTTTTTATGTGGTAGGTACCTCTAACTGGTCGCGGCCACAATTATAGAACGGAAGTTGAGGAGCACAAATTAATTATAGAACAGCCAAAATTAATTGTAGAACAGGATCCGAATCCGCGCGGAATCGAGATCCGGAGGAGTACGAAAATATACGGTATTTTACCGCACTTTTGTACTCCTAATTCCGTTCTATAATTGTGGCCGGTCCTGTATTCATCAATAGCCCTTATGGTTCACTTATGATAAATTATTAAAATTGTTATATGTACATTATATGTATGTCATTATGTGTATATCATATGTGTATATGATTCACCCATGTGGAGCCAATGCCACCACCGGCATGGACGCCTCCGGCGCCCTTAGATTGGCCGGAGATGGCGGAGTCGGGGGCCTGGCGCTGAAGCGACCATGGAGAGTTTCTGATATGTTAAATTACCAAAGCGTGTACAAATATATGTATATATATATATGTATGTATGTATGTATGTATATATATATGTATGTATGTATGTATATATAATGTGTATAATATACATACATATGTATATATATATGTATATATATATATATGTATGTATATATATATATATATGTATGGGTTGAAAGCCCAACCAGGTAGATAAGGCGAAATCCAAGATGTTGACTTTCTTCATGGTTTTGGGGATTTAGAATCTGATGCTTACAAATATGTATATACATGTACAGTCAGAATATGTGTTACCAGTGAAATTTACGTTCATTTGGATTGTCTCATTGTTGCTAAGTCTAGTCATTCGAAGTTGGTGATCACAGTATTATGTATAGGATGTACCCTCCCGTAATGAAGCATGGCAATGGAAAATTCTAACGGTTTCCCCAGGAAAAAGCAGTGTCACTGTGTCACCCAGCATCAAGTTGTCGTAGGTTGTCATTCATCAGTGTGACCAATGAATTCTGAAAATGACAGTGTTCTGTGAATCAGCATGCATGATAGGAGGATTCTTTCAATGTGCTTCGAGTCGGGTTGTACCATGTCATACAATGTCATACATAAGAATGTCACTACTTGGAGGATCATACCACTTGGTGGGGCTACACAAAAATATAGGAGTGGAGTTTGAACCCACACGGAAGCGGCTCCTAGCAAATGGAGCAAACTCTTCAAACAATTGAATAACCATATCAACAGGGACTAAACAACCAATAATATAAAGTAGCATTATATAACCTAATATCATATCATATCATATAATAGTATATCATATCAAATCATATCATATCATAAAGTTATAAGGACAACCGGACTGGTTGACTAGTACAAGAGCGTTCCTCTAGTGAACATTTGCACACAAGAACGTAACCCCAGTTCCCCGCTAGCAGACCTAACACTGCTGGGACGCTATCACAAACCTGAGAAAATCGATCTGATGATCCAGAAACTATTACGCACTAGTGTAAATTATCTACATTGAATCATTCACACTAAATCACAATCTATCTAAACTGACTTTAAATGTTTTGGATATTTCAAAATTCCCTCACCAATGATCCTTTGAAATCGCTGTGAGACCCATTGTTGAAATCCCGATATTTTGTTCCCAAATCTGTTTAAGATGGTCGTTATCATTCATGTCATGTTTTCGGTCGTAAAATCCTCACCGTATCTCCTCTTATCACAAATGTGCGGGTGAATTCAACATTCTTCTGTGGGTGCACTATTTAATTTCCAATACAGTTTTGGTAAATCTTCACTGCATAAAGAAATCCCATAAATCGCATCCCAGCATAGTTAGCCTACTTACTGCCTTGCCCAAATATGGGAAACAATCAATATTGATAGGGAACATCATGTTGGGGTACGCACCTTGGACATGTACCCGTATTGTGATCTCCTTTGCTGCTTATATCCATGACAAATCCATCTTATCCCATTTTTGTGGGGTTACGCGCTGGTTATTTGAGATTGACATTGCTATGGCATTATGTAAAATGGTCCATATAGATGATACACATATATGAAAGAAAAACATGATTTACCTCTTAAGAATGGTGATTTTCCAGTTCGCTACGCGAAAAATAACCAGGGGCCAAATCACCATCTTCTCCTATTCTTGTGGGTTAAATATGGTTAAATCATCTTAAATCATCTCAAATCACCATTTTTGTTGTGTATTTGCTGCTGAACTCGCCTCAACTCTACCTGCGGAGCTTCTGGCGCAACTTGCGCTTGCTGCTCAGCCTGTCCAGAAATGGTGCTGATGGAAACAAACACACATACATATTGAAGAAAAAGTCAATTAACAATAGTTTATGTATGTTATGTATGTTATGTATGTTACGTATGTTATGCATGTTATGTCGTATACATATACATATATAATATACATGCATTTTTTTACATATCATAATGTTTGTATATGATTGTATATGTATCATCATATGAAGTATAATGTATATATATATATAATATCATATAACATTCTACAGCTGTATGATATGGAACCGGAAGGTCTAGCAATGGCTCACGCGCTGCTTGATCTCTTCAATCCATTCCAAAAAATGTCAACCATGCGAAAGTTCCTTGAGATCATCATGATCTTTACACATATGTATCATCCCCGCAACCAACATATAGCCTAAGAATTGCCTATACATATCACCAAATCAAAGTAGTCTTCTAACCCCAACGGCAGGGTCTATCTTGGAGGAAGGTCATGTATCATGTTGTGAGTTATATCCCATCTATCCCCATGATACTTTATGTTTTCTCTCGAAGATATTCCCGACAAACATAAACCACACATCACAACTACATGGTCAAACTACATGGTCAATCTTTGGTAGTCTACAATTCTTTTGCTTGTGGTTAGTTTCCATTCAAAGCAACAAAAAAACAAGGATGAATATCTATCCATCGATTTTTTCCCACTCAGAACCAGCAACTCCAGATCAATCCCACAGTCATCCACTGACTTGGATGATGCAGGGCAGCATCGCTATAGCCAGGATTTTCCTAGGGAATCCCACTGTTATCCCATGCAACATCCCCGAAATCCCATTAAAAATCATTAAACATCAGCATTTTTTGCTGGTTAAATATGTTAAATAAGTTAAATTACCCTCTGGTAAACTAACATAACTATGGAAAATCACCATTTTCAATGGGTAAATCCACTATAAATGGCCATTTTCAATAGCTATGTTAAATTACCAGAGGGTAATGCCCATTAAAATCATCTAAGGTCTGAGCCCATCACCGCCTGCGGCTCGGTGGCTGGCTGTGCGGCGTTGTCGGCGTCGTCGGCGTCGTCGGCGTTGTCGGCGCCGGGCGCGTCTGGCTCGGCCACGGGCCTTGGGGCGTTCCGGTGCGTACTGCGGTTCTGGAATAGTTCTCATTTAAGAACATGTATATATATATATATTATAGATCATCTGTATAATATATTATAATATAATGCATGGATGTATGTTGTAGATATGTTTGTAGCTGTTTGTATCTTTACACAAAGTAAGAAACATGAAGTTAGGAGAATGTCATGAACATTGGGGCCACAAAATTGCAACAAACGGTCAGAAAGGGAGACTCCTAACTAACTCAAACATTTCTGAATTTTGAGAAGATAATCCTTGCTTGCCCTGCGGCAACCTAGATTAGATACTCTGGCAATCAATGGTTTGTTTATAAATAACTTGCAAAGATCCAACCTTCCCACCATTTACAAGTTGGTTAAAAACCCCCATTAACTATATAGATATATTATGTTATCTACCAGCAACCACGGTTAACTTAGTTGCAACGCAACTTCGCCATCGTTTGGGGGCCATTGACACCTTCTCGCACCGAGGTACTCCTCTGCCCTCGCAACACTCGACGTTTCTGCTCCCATGGCGTAATGGCGAAAACTGATCTGATGATATTTGAGCTGCTGAAAGCAAGATTCGGAGAAGGTGGGGTCCTCAACTATGGTTTATGGCAGATCAATTATAGATACAATCATATATATATATGTATATATATATATATTATGATTGATATTAATTATATGTATATAAAATTTATATTAATTTATACCGAACTGATCGGGGGATGTATACACCAACAAACCTTTTTTGGGCACCAGCTTGGAACAAATAAAATTTCAGCGGCTCCGAGCCTTCTCGTTGAACCAACAAGTAGATAGTGTAAAACAACCAGGAAAACATATAGATATATGTATTTTATAATAGTAACATAGATATTTTATGATTCCAATAGATATATATATATATATAATATGTATTGCATAGCTGTAAGTAGCTGCATACCGGATATGTATCTGTCATGGTCAACACCTACCATCCATATAAGCATATATGTACGCACTGTATCGCAAAAAATCGCATAAGAATAATTGGCCTGTCAACACTTGTTGTGCCATATCCGTTTTTTCAACAATAGATTCATTAGCAATTGTGGTGAAAAACTGGTTGCTGTAGATCATGGTAGATCCTGCTTCGCTGGTGATATATTATGTGAATTCCCACTTATTGATTGCTATCCACCTGCAGTTAAACATGGAAACCAAGCCACTAGGGTTTAATATTACTTTTCAAACACACACATATATATATATGTATAATATATATAACATGTATAATATATATAACATGTATAATATATATACATATATATATATATATATATGAATACATGTATAATATATATGTATGGTATATGTATATATTATACGAAATATGTACAGTATATATATATATATATACATTATATCATATGTATGTGTATATATATAATATGTTTGTATATATATAATATGTGTGTATATGTATAATATGTATATATAATATATGTGTGTATATATAATATATGTATGTGTATATATAATATGTATGTATATATAATATGTATGTATATATATATAATATGTATGTATGTATGTATGTATGTATGTATGTATGTATGTATGTATATACATACAGGTTGGCCATCTTAGAGTTTCCGTGTTAGATTTCGTAAGTTCCCAGTTCCCAACAACCCATTGAACCTGTGCTGCTGCCTTATCACAAAATGGGGCATGGGTTCTTCATGTTCTTCTCTGGCAACGCTGGTTTATTTTGCCACTTGGCCATGCTGAAAAAAACCGGATGGTCAACAAAACTCAGACCTGCAACTCTTGGGTCCTCAGCCAGCAAACATCGGAAACCAACTTTTTTTTAAGATCCATGTAGTTCAATCTCGTGGAAAAAACAGCATGTCAATAACATGTCAATAACCACATATACCCATATATTACCTAATTGCTAATTTCAGTCATAGAACTAGATTTGATTTTACGATATTTGTGAAACATGTATCAGGGCCGTTCCCACAACTTCGAAACAACAGCCACTATGTAGGAACAGCAGTTTGACCGTGGGGTTGGCTATTGGTTGTTTTTCTCCAGTTGCGAAGCAAATTCGCATCGACCAATAATATGACAGCAAAAGGCATGGCAAAAAAAAACATTACCGAACCTTTTTTTGAGGCCATCAGAATTCAGCCCGATCATCCGTGGATAAATACAAGCCCCTACATCATCGCCACCAGTGGCGATGGGTCCATCCAGGTTGAAGCAGAATGAACCACCACAGTAGCACCCACAGCTTAAGTTTAAAGAGTTGCAAACACAATGACACCTGGTAACAGCTATAATTCATCGATTATCAATGCTTTCATTAAATTACTGTTTTGGATTGTGGGACTTACTCGTTAATTATCAGACCATCTACCAGTACTAGAAGATTAAATGGGAGCAGGCGCTTCCTCTGTTCCAGGTGAAGTTTGCTTGGCAACAATGCTTCGCTATAGTCATCCCGCCCGTCACGGGCAAGCACCGTCCCTGAGAAGATGACCGGGCAATTGAGGGAACACATTGTCACATTGCAATCAAGTAAGGCCGTTTTCACTGATGCTGAGCGGCTCAAGAACACACTGCAAGCCGATAGCGATAGGGAACCGAAAGGCTCAGGATTCATGCTTCACCTGCACACGTTCTGTCGTCCAGCAAACTTCAACTGATGGCTTGTGAAATATGAAGTGCTGGAGAACATTGTTGCAGAACCTGTGGCGGTGTGCGCGCCGCAGGCCCTGATTTCGCCATCAGCGTTTTGAATTCCTATCTGAGCCCCCCTAAGAACACCTGAAGCCGTTGCCAGAGTTGCCGTCTTTCGCATGGGAATATTTTTCCAAATGTCTGCAGCCCAATGACTTCTGGGGCCCCTGCCTATCTCACTCAAGTCCAGCACATGGGAGCAGGTGCATCTTGAGTGAAAGGTTAAGATCTCCAGCGTCAAGGCGCAGCCGGTGAATTTCGGAATTTCGCATTGCGTCTTAAGGTGATAGCCGTGCGGTGTCTGGATTTGCCACTGCTGAGCTGACTTCAAGAGAAAGTTTGGAAACTTTCATCGCGCTCACACATCATGAGTCTAGCAGAGGTAGTTGTAGATCATTTGGCCATTGTGGAATTGGATTTCGGCTTCACCAACAAAGGCATTGGGGAACTGCAAGCGTAAGCTGCCGGGATGCAATGGAAGGGAAGAAGGCGGAGAATGCCGATGAGGTTGGACTGGAGACGGCACAAAAGATGAAGACCCAGCCAAGAACAGCACCCCCCCAAAGCCGACTGGAAAGGGCATGGCGGAGGACTTACATACAACATTATATGCTGCAACGCGACGGAACGCGAATATAGCAGTTGGCCACTGTGGCACGCAGCCATTCTTCCCGGCTGTAGCCGTCAGCAGCACATGGCTTGAATTTTGATCTGCGACGTGGGTGCGAAAACAATAGCATTAATTGCTCGCACCAAGAGCTGATTTCCTTTGGGCTCAAGAAACACATGCATGCTCCATCACAGAGGACGCAAATCTTTTTCGATGCTGCCGGCAAAATTGTGTCCAACTATGTGGCACTCTAAAATCTAAAGCCTTGGTTCGCTCAAAATTGTACTGCCTATCGTTTCTATATCTTCTGCTCTACGCGTTCTTTTGACAAGCCAAAAGCTAGAAACACTTTCTCTTCAAGCGGCTATGCCACCAAGTCCCGTATCGTCTCAACTGTATTGGTCCTTTTGATGAATTTGAATCATCCCAAGCACAGTGTCACAGCGACACCCTGCTTGGTGGGATTCGGAATCCACAATCAGAAGAAACATTGTTGCCTCAGCTGCTTCTCTTGTATATGTGGCCAGTCCAAGCCATCTAAGCTTTCCAAGTGGGATTCGGCATTTTGAATCATCCCAAGCACGGTGTCACAGCGACACCCTCCTTGGTGGGATTCCCAATCCAGAATGCCCGGAACAGCTCTGGAAGGTGCCCGGATTAAGGTCTCTGATTGCCTAGGTCTAGAGGCGCTGGCGATGCAGCTGTTCTGTGTTGCCATGTGTTTGCATCCAGGGTGGCCTTTGAAGCGTCCATTCAAGTTCCGGCATGCATGCTTGTTCTTTCAAGCTCTGCGTAGCAAGCACGAAAAACAACAACACGCAAGTCCACAATTTCAATAGTCTCCACAAAGCCGTTTCAACAAGATGGAAACCATATTGAGGAACCCTTCGGATATTAAAGAATCTGCCAAAAAAATATGCTTTCAGTTCTTTTCTCAATGAGCAGCCAACCCAAATGCATTAGATTGCAACAGTGAGAACATAAGCTCACACCATTCCATCTCCTGGGCCTTCAGCTTGTATAACTCCTTCCGTCACATGCGGTCTAGGGCGCGCGGCTTTTGCGCGCCTGGCGCCCCTTTGGGCGCCCAGCTTCTTTATGGGTTCAGTATACCGCCGGAAAATCATCCCAGTCTGTGTGTTCCTCCTGTTTGGGGTTGTATCCCAGCTTCTGTCAAACTGTTGCCTCCGTTGCTTAAAACCACCTATACCAAACGGTAGTAGGGCCTACATAAAGGCGCGCGCTTTTCGCGCGCCTATTGTAGGCGCGCGCTTTCTGCGCGCCTGGGGCGCGCGCTCTTTGCGCGCCTATTGTAGGCGCGCGCTCTTTGCGCGCCTGGGGCGCGCGCTCTTTGCGCGCCTGGGGCGCGCGCTTCTTGCGCGCCTGGGGCGGGCGCTTTTTGCGCGCCTGGTGCGGCGAGTGCTTTTTCCAAGCCAGGCCTAGCCGTTGGGTATTTTTGTTGTGTTTTGCACTACCCTGCTCCCGTTTGGTTCATGGCCAAAACCGCTCTGCACTGCAATATCGTTGTCCACGCCAATGTCCTCGGGTGTGCTTCATTCCAGCACCCTAAGAGCCATCTGCTCCCTCCCCCATTCATCCTTCTTTCTGTACCCATCTCTTCCACCGAAATCTTATGAAAACGGCCCTCGTCCATCAAATTATTCAGAGAGATATATATATATATATATTATATATATTTACTATCTGTATGTGTAAGATGCGGCCAAGCAAAATCAAATATCTAGGACCACCTCTTCCACTCCGTTCCGCTCCCTCACATCCACATCCCTTCCAGACGATGGGCGGAAAAACGGACGTGCTGAAATGTAGTTAAGCGATTATGCCTTAGATATGTAGAATGCCCATTGACGCTGCACGTCGGGAATTGATAGATCCATCATAAACTTGCGGCCTGCGGCCGGATGCTGTTGGTCCCGTGGGGCCAAGAGCGGCAACAATAGAGCTCCAGAATGCTAGACCGAGGAAAGAGTAATGAGAACATCTGCCAACCGTAATGGGATCGAAATCGGTGCGTAAATGGCTTTAATAATGGGAATACCATATTAATAAGATAGTCTTGCTGGCATCTACCAGGAATAACGGGGTGACAAGCAGCCCGCTATGGTTGGCATATATGCCTAAGGCCTATCACGAAATTGTAGCCAACTTGCTGATATATCATATGAAT